TTTCTTTTTTTTCTTTTTTTTCTTTTTTTTTATTCTTCAAATATGTTTTATTTTCATTTTCATTTTCATTTCATACAGTCACATATATACTGTGCATGACCGGGGCCATATAGCATTGAGCAATAAACACAGCCATCCTTGTCAAAAATACTCCCCAAAATACAAACCCAATATACCACTTGGAGCACCCACAACTTTTGAAGGCAAGCTGTTCCACTGGTTTATTGCTCTCACTGTCAAGAAATTTCTCTTTAGTTCTAGGTTCTCTCCTTGGTTAGTTTCCATCCATTGCTTCTTGTTTTACTTTCAAGTGCTTTGGAAAATAAGTTTACCGTCTCTTCTTTGTGGCAGCCTATTGGAAGACTGCTTTAATGGCACCCCTAGTCCTTCTTTTTACTAGATATATCCAATTCTTACAAACATTCTTCATATGTTTTAACTCCATCCCCCTAATCATCTTTGTTTCTCTTTTCTGCACATTTTCTAGAGCAGTGATTGCTAACCTTTGCCAGACCAAGTGCTCAAAGCGCGCAAATCCCCAAAATGCAACGGCCTCCCTACACATGAGCTCTGCCTCCTGGTGAGCCCCTGCACATGGCCCACCCCCTGCATACACATGTGTGACCCTCCAGCATACGCCCACTCCCCATGCATGTGTGTGTGACCCCCCCTGTGTGTGCCACACTCTTTAAACATTCATGTGTAGCTCCCATGTGCATGCCCTTGCCCCCGCGCATGCACAGCAGGGAGCTGAAGGCTAGCTGAATGGTGGGAGGTGCACAGGCATGCGCAGTGGAGCTGAACTGGGGTGACAGCTCACATGCAATCTGAGAGGATGTGTGTGCCAACCTATGCCATAGGTTTGCCATCATGGTTCTAGAGTCTCAACTTGTTTTTCATATTGTAGTGACCAAAACTGGATATGGTATTCCAAGTGTGGTCTTACCAAGTCCTTATAAAGCAGTATTAATATTTCACGTGATCTTAATTCTACCAATCTGTTAGTGCAGCCTAGGATTACATTGGCTTTTTTGGCTGTTGTAGCACACTGGTGGCTCATATGTAAATGAATGTCTACTAGGATTCCAAGATCCCTCTCACAGTTACTGCTATTGAGCCAAATTTCACCTAATCTGTATTTGTACATTTAGTTTTTTCTTGCTTAAGTGTAAAGCTTTGCTTTTCTCTACATCACAGGTATCAAACTTGACCGTGTCACATGACATATCATGATGTTTTTTGCCTTTATGGAGCTGGGCTGGGTGTGGCCTGTGCATGACGCACCTGGTCTGCAGGCCGCCAGTGTGACTGGGCTGCTGCACATTGAATTTCATTTTGTTAGATAAGCTCAAATCTGCTGAGTTGAGTCTGCTGAGAGTTGATTAATTTCTCTAATTAATAATTAGAGAAATATGAGGAAGATGAAGAAGATGACAAAAACAAATTGCATTTTAATTTGCCATGTACATTATCTACAACACTACCTTAAGATGTAATTTGTCCCAGAATTTATTTCTTCCAGAATTTAGGAAAGGGACAGTGAGGAGTCATCAAATTTTCTATAGTCTCACCCCAAATGTGTATCTTAGTTGGAAAGTACCATTAACTTGCAATTACTCTTTTCAATATAATTATTTTCATATATACTGGGATACAATTTAGCTGCTACTAAGGGACCTATTAAAAGTCAGTTATGTAAAATCTACATGTTCAAAGACACATTTCCTCTTTTTATAAATGTCAGTCTGACACAATGTGTGAGGACCTCCAGGAATTACTCAAAACAGATATACTGTGTCTAGTTAGAAACTAGATGCTTGTCATAATCCCCACATCCTTCTAGATGAAATTTCTGTAAATATATTTCCACCCTACTGCCACAAGTGTCAATAAGTAATAGTGATAAAGTTGATATGATTAAATCCATCTGTTTTTTTCCTATAAATGCTACAAGACATATGTCTTTGTAAACAACGGGCACATTTAGCAATTTACTGAGACAGAATTGGGAAGCAAATATGTAATTTATAGATGTGCATCCAAAGCCAAGATTGTATCATAAATTAAAGCAGGGTAATGTGAAACAGGTTTTCATATACAGTATCTGGGATGGAGAAAATAAGTTTGAACCCACTGCAGTTTGGCAAAGACTGTCTCTGTCTGCAAATTGGAATGACCTGCTACAGGTTTTCCTTTCCTTGCTTTAACTTCTGTCGCCATTCCTCTTTGTTGCAAGAGTATGAATGAGTTCCAGATGAGTACAAATGCCATATCCAACTACAGCTCTAGTTCAACTGTAGCTGAGTCCAATTTGGCTCTACCATTCAGATTCTGTAGGCTGTAATCATCTGGGTCTGGGGGTGGAGAACTTGGACTCTTTTATGACCAATGAACTTCAACTCCCAAAATTCTTGAGGCAGCATGGTTGGCTAAGGAATTCTGGGAGTTAAAGTCCACAAATCATAAAGGGGCAGTAATTCCCCACTTCTAGTCTAGACTTTACTAAAGAAATTGGCCCCAGGTTAACTTTTACAGATATACAGCAATATTGCAACTAAAGGGAACTTCTACCAAGCATGCTTTTCACTCTATTTCCACCCCCTAATCCCACACAAAATTCAAAATCTGCAGCAGATTTTTTTAATTGGTATCAGTTCTACCCAGCTAGAAATGCTGAGAATACCACATCTTACTCCCTGAACTGCCCAATTTCCTGAAAGAATGAAAATTCACATTCCATACAAAGGGTGGGGGGAAGGACACAATTAGTTTCCTCTCTTCCCACCCAGGTCTTCAATGTGTGTGAATGCATGTGTCTTTGTGTCGGTGTCGACTCTTGGACTAGCCCCTGCAGATTTTTTGGTAAAATCTTTTGGAAATGGTTTGCCATTGACTCTTTTCTAGGACTGAGAGTGTGTGACTCTGCTGGTTTGTGCTATTTTTCTTCAGAATATATGTGATATTTTGTGATTTTTTCCCCCAGAATATATACAGGTTAAAAAGAATACCTTTCTACATCTCTACTGAAACTGTCGCAAAGGTGCTTTTTCAAGAGGCAACTGGACTTTCTGGTTTTTCTTTGAAGTTGTTTTGCTTCTCATCCAAGAAGCTTCTTGAATAAGAAGTGAAATGTCTTCAAAGAAAAACCAGAAAGTCAAGCTGCCTCTTGAAAAAACACCTTTGGGACAACCATGACCTGGATGACTGAGAATCTCCATAGACTTCTAAAGAAGCTATTTAATGACAAATTACAATGAATAGTAGGCTAGACAAGTATTATGTAAGATCCACCCAGAGTCAAGTAACTCTCCAAAAATTGACTATTATTAAGTGTTGTACCTTATGATTCTTTTTTTACGTTGTAAATATGTTTTATTTTCATTTTCATTTTCATTTCATACGGTCACATATATACTGTGCATAACCGGGGCCATATAACATTGAGCAATAAACACAGCCATCCTTGTCAACAATACTCCCCAAAATACAAACCCAATATACCACTTCAACCCTCCATACACCCTTTCTTTCACCCCCCTCCAACTTTCCTTTCTCCCCTCCAACCTTCCCCTCTACCCTACTTCCCCTCCCCCTCTATCACTCCTCTCTCCCAATACACTCCCTCCCTTCCATCTCACCCTCCCTCCGATCCTCTCTCCCACCCTTTCTACCCCTCTTTCTTCTTTCCTTCTGCTCCTCCCTTATGATTCTTGACGAATGTATCTTGTCTTTTTATGTACACTGAGAGCATATGCAACAAATTCCTTGTGTGTCCAATCACACTTGGCCAATAAAGAATTCTATTCTATTCTATCCTATCCCATCCTATCCTATCCTATTCTATTCAATTCTATGAAAAAA